TAATCAAAGTTGCCTTTTGCCCCTTCCCTCTCCAGGGCCTCCTCCTACCCATGCTGGCCTTGCTCAGCACTTTCAGCAATCCTTCCAGAGAGACTGAGCGGCTGTCGTAGAGTCTCCGAAGCAAGGACTGGGGCAACTGGTATAGGTCAGAGTCCTTGTAGGGGAGAGGAATGGAGAGGAGAGGAACGGAGAGCTGAGGGACAAGGTCCACACCCCATCTATCTGCTCTCTTCCTGCTCAAGACAGCCTTGCCCCAAACCCACCACAGCTGAACCCAACACCCCCTTTCCTTCAAGATTTCCTCGGGCTTGCCCTGGAAGAGAAGTGGGTATGCAGAGTGTAGGCCCAGGGGCAGCAGCACTGGAGCGTGTTAGAAAAGCAGAACCCTACCTTTAACCTGGAGACCACCTGAATCTGAATGTGACCCTATGGTGTTCATGTGCATGGTAAAGTCTGGAGCCCTGTGGAGGCTTCCGGGTGACTGGCCTGGTGGCCTTGGACTGCCTCCCTGGGATGCTGATCGTGCTGTCTCCCAAGGCCAAGGGCGGTTGTCTCCTGGAACCCCCACTCAGCTCCTGCCACCTCTCAGTGACAAAGCCACAGGTTCAGAAACCAGCTTGCTCAGAGATGCGGTTAGTCCACTGGGTGAGCCATGAATCCCCCACGCCAATCACACTTAGCAAGTGTCCTCTAGCCCGTGCTCATGGACAGGGCTTGGTCCAGGGGTCAGGTAGCAACGGGCAGCAAGGGTACACCTGCAGACATGGAGTCCCTACTCTGTGCTGTGTCTATGGGCGACTCCCTCCTCCTGCCTTTCACTGACTTCTCTGTAGCCTTCTGCTTGTTGTGTCCCTCTCCAGAATTCTAGTGTCCTTGGGCTACAGTGGACACCCAGGATACACCCCACATAAGCCATCCAGGCACCCACACACACACATGAATTCTACTCAGTATCTCTCATCCTCACAGACCTTGGGGAGAGAGAGGGTCTCTGTTGATCGAGAGAGGCAGAGGTGTTTTCTTGGTGCCCTAGGTGCTGTAGCAGGGTTGTCTCCGAAGAACCCAGATAGTCTTACCACCCTGACAACACAAGGTCCAACCTGTACCTGATACTTACTGAGCAGTGGGTTTTGCTTGGATCTGATGCAACTGCTGCCACCCGCACAGCGGCCCTGGCGAGCAAGCACATGTATGCATGTCCTCGTGTGTGCGTGCGTGTGTGTGTGTGTGTGTGTGTGTGTGTGTGTGTGTGTATCTCATTCTCCCTCCCTCCCTCTCCCTCCCTTCCCCTTTGCCCAGCTCATAGCTTCCCAGAAGCCACTTTTTCCAAATTGTTCACATACTCAGCCCACCTCCTGTAATGAGATGCTAAGCAGATTGGAGCTGGAGAGGCAGAAGGCTCCACATGCTGAATTTGTAATAAGTCCCACCTGTAATCTTCTTAAAAGCATTTGTAACTGCTGTCAACTCAAAACCCTGAAAAGACTTCCTCCCTGCGCTCCCCTCTACACCAACCCTGACAAGTCCTATTCTTTTTCTTGGAGGAACTTTGGGGCTCCAGGCTCAGCCTGGCTTGTTTTTCAATTTCTGTTTTACTTCTCTGACGAAGCAGAGGCTAGAAGTAGGCATGGGAGAGGAGAGAAGGGAGAGCCCTGGTGCCTTAGACACACCTGAGACTGTGGAGGTGTGTAAGCAGAGGATGGGGGCGGTATCTGCATCTTGAAACTAAAAGAACTCGTGTAACTCATAGATGAAATAGCACGCAGAGGGCCACTTGGGGGAGAAATTCTGCCTGAGTCTGCCTCCATGGAGGGAGATCTGTCCCTTGCCAAGAGACAGAACTGAGCCAGACCACAGAGAACTTATGTAGCCAACTTACCCACAGCACCCCCAATCACCATGTCACCAACAACAAAAAAAACTGAACAACATATTTTTTAATTTAAAAAATATAATTAAAATATAATTACGTTACTTCTCCCATTTCCTTTCCTTCTTCCAACCTTTCCCGTGTCCTCTCCTCTTGCTCTCTCAAATCCCTGCCTCTTCTTTAATTGCTGTGACATATATACTCCTAAATACATAAATGCAAACCCCTCAGTCCACATAAGGCTAAGCAGCATTTTTTTAGGGCACACTTTATCTACAAGATATCCAAGACACAGAGGGATACCCTGGAGACAACAGAAGCAGGAGAGGACCAGAGATAGAAAGAAATTTAGAGACATAATCCCCAACCCCGCCAGCCCACTTCCGTCTCTCCCTCCAGACAGACAGACAGAACCAAGTCTCCCTGCGGTCTTGGACTCTGTCAGGGGACACCTTACCTTACTGTGCCTCCCACCAGGTGCCACCTGCTCCTGAGACTCCTCACAGACAGCCTCAAAGCTGCAAGCCACGCTGAGCGCTAGGATAGCAGCAATCAGCACGGAGCCCCTCATGGTGCCTAAATGACAAAAGGTGAAAAGGAGGGAAGACAGCTTGGTGGGAACCTGCAGGCTTTCCTGACCAGCAGCTGGGCTCCATCATGTTTTTCCAGCTCTCCACCTCCCCTGTCTAAGCCCTGATCTGAAGAGAGTGAGCTGCATCTCTGAGAAGGGGGAGTCCCCATCAAACATCATCCCAGGATCTGCCCATCAATGAGCAATGATGTGTGTTGGGGGTCTCTAGATCGTAAGATTGATAGATTCACAGAATTTGTTCTGGTCTGTGTCTTTACCTAGCTTGACAAGAGACCTGGGATTCTGTCTTACAGTGCTAGATAAACCCGAGACTTAGAGAAAAACTTTCTAACCCATAAGAATCAGTCTTGATTCTGGCCCCAAACACCAAACCTTAACAGAGCCCCATTCTCGGGCCCTTTCTGATGGCCTTCCTGGTACCCTACTTGCCTATCAGAGGCTGCCCTCTCCTTTATCCCCTCTGGTTCTCATCCATCATCCTCGGTGCCAGCTTCAGGCCACCACACCATTCTTCCAGAACCTACCTGTGGAGCTGGATGGACGGTAGGATCAGGGAGCTTGACTGGTGCTGCTTCGGAGAGCAGGGGCTCTGGAAGGTGGCAGGAACCAGTCCCAGCTCCCTGATAAAGGTTCTGGGAGGGTTTGGGGGAGCTGAGGGGAGGGGCTGAGAGTCACCAATCCCAGGGTGGCTGGAGGGGAGGAGGAGAGCTGGTAGGGAAGAAGATGCAGGCTGCAGTCACATACCCAGACACGCAGGCGCGTGTACACACACACACACACACACACACACACACACACACACACACACACACACACACAGTTGACAAAAACATGGACCAACTCCAAAAAGCGTAACAAAGCTACTTTACTTCTGTGCATTTTTGGGTATAGTTATAGAAGAACTAGAGATAGCAAGCTACAGTTGTCCAGCAGCCCACTTTCCAAAGGCAGCCAAGGCAGGCACTCTAAGGAATGCTGTTGAATGTGATCTCTCACAAAATTGCATGCCGGGTCTAGCTCAATAGGTGTGACTCCCGGACCTTTTTCTCATAACTCACCAGCTCCTCTCCCTTTAAACCACCAAGCTTGACTACCAGCCTGAAACAGCTCAGACAGGTGTCTCTGTCCCTGCCACCATCAAGACAGCTGGGGCTGAGGCCCCACTTGAAGATTGGGGATGAATCTGGCTCCTTCTGCCCTCCTCCTCCCGGTGGAAGCTGTCCCATCTCCTGGTCCTTGCCCCAAGAGAGAAGCAGGGTTGCTGGACTGAGACCCTCCACCCCGGGCCCCCCATATCCTCACCCTTCTCCTCCCTGACTGAATCGGCTGCCTCAGCTGCCTCTTGCTGGAGTTCTACCTTCCATCCCTCCTGCTCCAGGGAGGAGAGAACGAACAAACAGCGTGGCCAAGCTCATCCTGTTCTCACCTTGCTCTGCTTAGCTCTGCCTCCCCTTTTCCTCAAAGCTCAGACACATTCTCTAACCCTTCCAGCCCTTGTTTACATCACGTACAGATGAGGGGCTTTTCTATAGTTTCTTAGCCCAGGACAGAGAGACAGGGAAGGAGAGCCAGGGCCAGAATTAGAACTCAGAGAGAGCCAGTAATGCCCTGGGAAAGTGGCAATTGGGTCCTGGCCACAGGGTATGGATACACACATCAGGAGCTTAGACATACAGTGGGATTAGATATTCCTCACCTCCACAATAGAAATAAGAAATATACCCATTTTTTTCTGATTAGAAAAACCAAGGTCAGGGAGGTTCAGTGACTTGCTCCAGTATACACAGCAATCCAGCTCTTCTTATCCCAAATCTCTCTGTCTGTTTGTTTGAAGACAGGGTTTCTCTGTGTAACAACTCTGGCTGTCCTGGAAATTGCTTTGTAGACCAGGCTGGCCTCAAACTCACAGAGATTCCACTGCCTCTGCCTCCCAAGTACTGGGATTAAAGGCATGTGCCACTACCCAGCTAAGCCTCTCTTTTCACTACTTTGGCATGTTGACCTTTGAGGGAAACCATTCATTCTTCTGGAAGGCACAGAGGACCATGTTTCTGAGTCTCAAAGGTTTGGAAACTTCAATGCTTTTACATCTTGGGATGAGAAGAAAGTAGTATATGCCCCCCTATTTATCATAGACACCTCCAGTCACCCCACTTGAAATTACTTCCTCCCTGTACCCCCTACTCTCTTCTTCCAGCACTTATATCCAACATTTTGATATTTTATCACTGATAATTTATTTCTTGTCTCAGTCAAATACACCAATCCTACTAAGCATCGAAAGGACAAGAATTTTTGTCTGTATTGTATCCCTTACCCTATAGTATTTGGCATATCATAGATGCTCAATAAAAATTTATGAAAAGGGCGCCAGGCAGTGTGGTGCTCACCTTTAATCCCAGCACTCGGGAAGCAGAGGCAGGCAGATCTCTGTGAATTCAAGGCCAGCCTGGTCTACAAAGGGAGTTTCAGGACAGCCAGGACTACATAGAGAAACCCTGTCACAACCCTCACCTCCCCCCGCAAGAAAATAAAATAAAACAAATTATACAAAAGGAAGCCAGAGCCCAAGGGGTTTTTGTTTTGTCTTGTTTTTGTAAATTTCTATCCCCAAACAAGTAGCATTAATGGGGCCCCCATTTCTCTCCACTCCATATACCCTGGGACTTGGGTCACAGTAATAAAAAGTCACCCTGGCTGCACAGGGCCCTTGTTCACCCCAGAACGTGGGTAGCAGCTGGGTATCAAAGTCTCTTTACGATAGGAGAGGCTAATGGGGCCTCATTAAAAGCTTCTTATTGCCCAGTTAATTGCAGGACTGTATGTGCAAAGAACATGGGCCAGCTCCCAGAGCTGTGAACATTTGGTGGGATGAGGAATAGAGGTGGGAGGCTGTTCACATGCAAATGGCATAACGTGCTCATTCCTTCGAGAAGCCCAGGTTCTGTTTCTAATTGGACCTAGCCTAGATGGCTCCCACCTCCTCCTCTCCAGTCTGCAACAATCTAGACATAGAAGACCAAGTTGAGCAGAGGGAGGGAGTTGGCTGTGCAAAAGCTGGTGAGTTCAAAAGCTGAGGACCAAAAGCCTGGTGGTCCCAGCTTGGTCAGCCCCTCCCCCCAACATAGCATCACCAAGCCTTGACATCAGGGAGGCAGGCATCAGCAAAGGTCCCACCATGAATAATGTCCTTTGATGATGCTGTATCTCACAGAGGATGGCAGGAGTCGAGGCTGGGAGGGAGCTGATCACCTTGATCTCTGGGATTAGCAAAGACTTGAAAGGGCTGATGCTGACCCAAGTTAGAGAGGGGATGAAGGAGGGAGGCGTTAGCTGCCTGTTGCAGCTCCACTTTACCCACAAATCATCCAAATGACTCGTAAAGAGCCTGTGGCAGCTGTGGAGCTGCTACACGGCTATCGAGGTTTTGTTTGCTTTTTCTTGGCAATGTTTCTTTATTTGAGGCACATCTCAGATGCTGTCTCCATAGAGAAGACTTGCGTAAAGTCCAGGATCTGTAGCAGCAGGTACTCCCATCCCTGACCCCACATATGTATGTATGTATGTATGTATGTATGTATGTATGTATGTATGTATGTTCAGTTGTACAGAGGTGAGACAAGTTAGACAGCCATTCTCTAGGGACACATGGTAGTGTGCATAAGACAATGTGTGTTGCCCACCATGTACTCAACAGTGGGCCCCTTGGTATCTTGGAGAGATCCCAAGGTGAGGGTGGGGCTGGCCCCTGTGTGACACAGGACAGAGAAGGATGGCAGCTCTCTGTCAGGAAGAGGCCCTGAGGGCACGGAGGAGACATGACTGAGCTTGGACTGTGTCAGAGCTGGATTAAGGTGAGAGGCCCTTGAGTGGCTCCTCAGTGTGGGGAGCCAGGGTGGTCCAGGAGAGCTTGTGGCCCTGAGAGGTTGAAGCAGCCCACACTTTGAGAGTCCTGGATGTGGTGATGCAGAAGGCTGGGGAAGGACCAATGACAAAACCGAGTCCCACGATGGAAAAGTCAATTTCAGCCCTTCTCTGTAGGTGAGAAGAAATCCATAGGCAGGAAAATGGAGCACTATAGGACTTCAGGACCCTGGGCTCCAGAAGAATGGAGAGGCATAGACTGCATAGAGGAGGCAGGGGGAGAGAGGACAGTGTAGGAACCCCACCCACCCTTGAACTAGCATCCATCAGCATGGTGGAAGAATGGAGGCCCAAGACCTAGTTAGCCCTCCCCATCCCTGCCCCCACCCAGGGAGCTCGCAGCTCCCTCAGCCCTGGGAAAAGAAAAGCAGGCTTGCGAGCAGCAGCTGCATTTTCTCCTGAAATTGCTTCTGAAAACGGCCAGACACTTCACTGGGAAAGTGACGACAATTTGGGCCCTGGGAGCAGGAGATGAGGTGGAGAGCGGGGGCGACCAGGCTCAGGGCACCACCCGCTCCCAGCCAGACAGGATCTTCTGATTCTGAGAAGTCAAGGTTGGAGCTGTCATCTGGGGAGTGGGAAGTTAGCCAGAGCCTGAGCTGTCTGTCGTCCAGCCCCACCCCACCCAGCTCCAATAGGACAGGCTCTAGTCTCTGTCTGCCCGGGGCCCATTGCAGCTCAGAGCAAGGTGTGCCAAAGCTGGGGGCTTGGGCTCAGAGAGAGAGAGAGAGAGAGAGAGAGAGAGAGAGAGAGAGAGATTAATCTGCAGGCAGGAAGGGTAGTTAATCAGGTCTCCCTGCCAGCATGATTACTTGGGCCCGTGAGCTGCCTACCGATGGAGGCTGCAAGGGACCCAGCCTCAGCTCAGTGGAGGAGGCAGGGAGAAGGCAGGGGGGAGGCGGGGAGGAGGAGGCAGGGAGGGTGGAGATGGTGAGAGGAGGGAGAGACATCCAGAGACAATGGCAGTTCTCCCTAATCTCTCCCTGGGTATAGATCTAAATTTCACTGCTATGTGCAGCATGTTCCCCAAAGACAGAACAGGGTAGTGAGACAAGGCTGTCTCTGAGGAGAGAGAGATGAAGGACAGCGGGGAAGGAATAAAGCAATAGCTTTCTAAAAGACATTACAGATTAACATTGTCAAAGCCCACACAAACGGAGGCAGTGAGGTGGCATGACAGTCCGAGACCAAGAAAAAAATAATGACCGTGATACAGAGAAAATAAAGGAAGAGGAAAGGAGTCGGTTCTAGAGGAAGTCTGCCCCTGTCAAGGGCCGCCAGCTGTGGGACAGTGACTGGAGATAGCTTGGCATCGCCAGGGCATGGAGAGGAAGAGGGTTCCTGGGAGGCAGGTGTGACACAGCCCATCTCTGGGGTAGAGGATGATAGATACCCTGGGAGCAGGGCCCACGAGTACCCCAGTTTGCCTCAGCTTGCACGGACCCTGCAGCCTTGGGCTTCTTTTTCAGGCGACATCGCCAAGGAACCTGGTCTCCAAGACAGGCATCCTCAAGTCTTCCCTCAGGGACACACTTAATGAATCAGCTCATCGGCCACCTGCCACCTGAGCCCTATCCCAGACTCCTACACCCCCCACTCCAGCCTCTCTAAACTCCACCAGAGCTCAGCCGGTCAAGGAGGCCAGAGACAATTCCCCTTCTTTTCCTTATTGTCTGTTCTGTCTGGTTCCCAGGAGCCTAAGGGGACATATGGCATAGGGGGATGGGGTGAAGGGTCCAAATATAACTGGGTAAAAATCAGAGTCAAGTAAACAAATAAGTATACTCAACGGAGCAAGGAGATAATATGGACCCACCAACACTGCCCAGACCTTTTTAAGACACATTTATTAGTGGGCAAAAGGGCCAGAGCTGAGAAAATGCCACATCTGGAAAAGGATTCTGAGAAGGTCCAGGGAACAGAAAGGCCGATTCTAAGGGCCCTTCAACTCTAAGCCCCACCTCACAATCAAAAGAGCTGGACAAAAGTTCTGCATCTCCAGGAGGAGGCCCCAACCTCCTCACCGCACAGTCACCTCCATGGAATGACTCCCCTTCTTCTTGCAAACCAGCTTGCTGTTCCCACTCCCCCCGGGGCCCTGGACGACCTTGACAGCCACATTGCTCTCCTTGAACTTCACTGAGAAACTGGAGGGAGAAGAAACAGAGAGACCAAAGCTAAGGCCTCCGTCCCCTCAGCCCCGCTCTTTTCTAGATGTTCTCTCCCTAGAGCAAACACACAGCACACCCCCACCCATGAGATGACTCAAGGCCTGAGAGAACTTGGTGCATAAAGCACAGTGGTGAGGGGAGGGAGGTGTGGACAGCACTGAGAGAAACCTCCAAGCCCTGCCCTGACACAGTCTGCTTTGCTTTCTGATTACACGAATTTCCCGGTCACAATGACCAGTAGTCCGGTCATCTGTCCTGAGCTGTCCCTCATCACCAGCTCATGGCCTTACTTCTCAGTCACAGCGACAGAGAGCTGCTTCTGTGTGGCATCCAGCACAGCTTGGTACATCTTTGTCAGCAGTTCAACCACATGGTCACTGATCAGCAGGATGTCCCCCTTGGAGTCTGCCGATGACATCTGAGGAAGAAGGGGAAAAATAGTAGAGATTAATATTTTTTTTCTCTTGGGAGCAGCCTGAGGGACATCAAAGACCCACAGTGCATTTTGTTCTAGCATATCCAGTCCACCTGGGCCAGGATGTCCACTCTGGGGGACCTGGCCCATGTAGCCCAGATACCTCACTCAAGTGCAAGCCGAAGAGCCCATCCTGGAGGCTGGTGACTGACACCCCAGCCACGTTTTCCAGCCCAATGACAATTTGGGCCTGAGACTTCTTGGCATCTGTGAGGATCACGTGACGTTTGGTGAGGAGGAGAATCCGGGCAGATGTCTAGAGAGGACACAGGAAATAGCGAGGACAGGCATTGTCACCCATCCCTGCAACTGGGCAAAACACGTGCAGCTGGCCCCGGACCGTTCCCCACTGTTGGGCACAGTGGCTCTTTACCTTGCCATTGCCACGGTTGACTTTCTTCACTGTGTCTGCCACAAGGACAGGCCCTTCCTCCTTGCCCTTCAATTTCTGCAGCTTGGGGTTCCCCTGCAGCCCAATGTAATCACCGCGGAACGGAATAGGGACACTGAGGGCACAGGAGAGGTGTGCAGTGAAAACCAGGCCCTGCTCGCCTCCCTGAGAGCCATGTCCCCTTCTTCCCCTATCTCATTTCAGTGATCCATTGATAAGGCCCTGGACCAACACCATCAACA